GCTCAGCTACTTATCCTACCTTATATAATTTGGTCGCGTATCTCTGTGTGTGTGTGTGTGTGGATGTCACCTTCGAGGCCCGATTTGAGGGCCTTCCCGTGTCCAAAATGCCCTAATTCTCCGTCACCCGGGGGAATCGACCCTCCTCTTTCCGATGGCGTTTTCAGAATCCCGATAAAATACAAGGTTACAAAGTTAAAGCCGGTTTTATTGATTTTTGGGGGTCCAGGCAGGCTTATTTGCATAATGTGAAAAAATACAAATTTCCTCATTCTTGCCAGTTGCACTCGCGAGTTTGGTCGTCTCTTTGGATCTGCCTCTCGATGCTTTTTCTTCCCCTGCCCCGGGCAATGCCCAAAAAGGGTTTTTGGCGCGTGCTGCCAAGCATTGCATGGTGTAGTGGTTAGCGCATCGCCCTACTAATCTAACCATCGGAGGTTCGATCCTCGGATATCGTGGTTGTTTTGCTTTTTGCTCGGAAAGTGTGTTGCGGAGTGGATTTCCGTGTAGGGACGTTATTATGTAGTTAGCCACTCAAACCTGCGCCGCAGCCGATAGAATGAAGCTACCCCCTCAAGCTCGCGCCGCAGGCTTTACAACGAAGCTAGCCGTACAAGCTAGCGCCGCAGACTTTAGAACGAAGCTAGCCGTACAAGCTAGCGCCGCAGACTTTAGAACGAAGCTAGCCGCTCAAGCTAGCGCCGCAGACTTTAGAACGAAGCTAACCGCTCAAGCTAGCGCCGCAGGCTTTAGAACGAAGCTAGCCGCTCAGGCTAGCGCCGCAGGCTTTAGAACGAAGCTAGCCGCTCAAGCTAGCGCCGCAGGCTTTAGAACGAAGCTAGCCGCTCAAGCTAGCGCCGCAGACTTTAGAACGAAGCTAGCCGCTCAAGCTAGAGCCGCAGGCCTAATAACGAAGCTAGCCGCTCAAGCTAGCGCCGCAGGCTTTAGAACGAAGCTAGCCGCTCAGGCTAGCGCCGCAGGCTTTAGAACGAAGCTAGCCGCTCAATCCTAGCGCCGCAGACTTTAGAACGAAGCTAGCCGCTCAAGCTAGAGCCGCAGGCCTAATAACGAAGCTAGCCGCTCAAGCTAGCGCCGCAGGCTTTAGAACGAAGCTAGCCGCTCAGGCTAGCGCCGCAGGCTTTAGAACGAAGCTAGCCGCTCAAGCTAGCGCCGCAGGCTTTAGAACGAAGCTAGCCGCTCAAGCTAGCGCCGCAGACTTTAGAACGAAGCTAGCCGCTCAAGCTAGAGCCGCAGGCCTAATAACGAAGCTAGCCGCTCAAGCTAGCGCCGCAGGCTTTTAGAACGAAGCTAGCCGCTCAGGCTGGCGCCGCAGGCTTTAGAACGAAGCTAGCCGCTCAAGCTAGCGCCGCAGGCTTTTAGAACGAAGCTAGCCGCTCAAGCTAGCGCCCCAGGCTTTAGAACGAAGCTAGCCGCTCAAGCTAGCGCCCCAGGCTTTAGAACGAAGCTAGCCGCTCAAGCTAGCGCCGCAGACTTTAGAACGAAGCTAGCCGCTCAAGCTAGAGCCGCAGGCCTAATAACGAAGCTAGCCGCTCAAGCTAGCGCCGCAGGCTTTAGAACGAAGCTAGCCGCTCAAGCTAGCGCCGCAGGCTTTTAGAACGAAGCTAGCCGCTCAAGCTAGCGCCGCAGACTTTAGAACGAAGCTAGCCGCTCAAGCTAGCGCCGCAGGCTTTAGAACGAAGCTAGCCGCTCAAGCTAGCGCCCCAGGCTTTAGAACGAAGCTAGCCGCTCAAGCTAGCGCCGCAGGCTTTTAGAACGAAGCTAGCCGCTCAAGCTAGCGCCGCAGGCTTTAGAACGAAGCTAGCCGCTCAAGCTAGCGCCGCAGACTTTAGAACGAAGCTAGCCGCTCAAGCTAGAGCCGCAGGCCTAATAACGAAGCTAGCCGCTCAAGCTAGCGCCGCAGGCTTTAGAACGAAGCTAGCCGCTCAAGCTAGCGCCGCAGGCTTTAGAACGAAGCTAGCCGCTCAAGCTAGCGCCGCAGACTTTAGAACGAAGCTAGCCGCTCAAGCTAGAGCCGCAGGCCTAATAACGAAGCTAGCCGCTCAAGCTAGCGCCGCAGGCTTTTAGAACGAAGCTAGCCGCTCAAGCTAGCGCCGCAGGCTTTTAGAACGAAGCTAGCCGCTCAAGCTAGCGCCGCAGACTTTAGAACGAAGCTAGCCGCTCAAGCTAGAGCCGCAGGCCTAATAACGAAGCTAGCCGCTCAAGCTAGCGCCGCAGGCTTTAGAACGAAGCTAGCCGCTCAAGCTAGCGCCGCACGCTTTAGAACGAAGCTAGCCGCTCAAGCTAGCGCCGCAGACTTTAGAACGAAGCTAGCCGCTCAAGCTAGAGCCGCAGGCCTAATAACGAAGCTAGCCGCTCAAGCTAGCGCCGCAGGCTTTAGAACGAAGCTAGCCGCTCAAGCTAGCGCCGCAGGCTTTAGAACGAAGCTAGCCGGTCAAGCTAGCGCCGCAGACTTTAGAACGAAGCTAGCCGCTCAAGCTAGAGCCGCAGGCCTAATAACGAAGCTAGCCGCTCAAGCTAGCGCCGCAGGCTTTAGAACGAAGCTAGCCGCTCAAGCTAGCGCCGCAGACTTTAGAACGAAGCTAGCCGCTCAAGCTAGAGCCGCAGGCCTAATAACGAAGCTAGCCGCTCAAGCTAGCGCCGCAGGCTTTTAGAACGAAGCTAGCCGCTCAAGCTAGCGCCGCAGGCTTTAGAACGAAGCTAGCCGCTCAAGCTAGCGCCGCAGGCTTTAGAACGAAGCTAGCCGCTCAAGCTAGCGCCGCAGGCTTTAGAACGAAGCTAGCCGCTCAAGCTAGCGCCGCAGACTTTAGAACGAAGCTAGCCGCTCAAGCTAGAGCCGCAGGCCTAATAACGAGAATAGCAGTTCAAGTTTGAGCCGCATACCAATACAAAGAGGTTTGCATGAGAGTTGCGTTTTTCTTTCGTCAGATTATGTGGAAGGGCGCTCGATTCATAAGGCCTAGACGGGGTCCAGCGGGGGAGAGTCGCGAAGCGGCTCCTCCCCCGCTGGTCCATCAATAAAATCTCCTAATTGCTGATCAAAAGGGCCTCTACTCGGACGTCTGCTATATACATAGACTTCCAAAAGGCCTTGGACAAGGTTCCACATTCCCGGCTTCTTAAAAAACTTGGCACCTATCGAATTATTGATCCGCTACTCGGTTGGATGCAAAGTTGGCTACTAGGAAGGCAGCAAACTGTTCGAGTGGGAGACTCGCTCTCCGAGCCCGCACCTGTTCTTTCCGGTGTTCCGCAAGGTTCAGTATTGGGACCTCTGCTTTTTATTCTTTACGTCAACGATTTAAATGATTCCCGATGCTTACCCCAAGCACTGCTCTTTGCAGACGATCTTAAAATGACGTCCCACTTCTCCAGCACCATTCCCTCGAGCATGGCCGATCAGTTGCAAAAACTCGAGTCCTTGGTCCACGAGAATCAACTACCTCTTGCTGGCCCAAAATGTTCTACAGTCCATTATGGCAGAAGAAATCCGAAGAACCACTACATTCTTGATGGTATTCGTCTACCGCAGACAAATTGCATACGTGATCTGGGTGTCCTGATGAGCAGCGACTTGACTTCAGCTGTACTCCACATGTATTAGAGGTGACGAGAAAGGCAGCTCGCTGTTCCATTCTCATTTTTAAAATTTTTTCCAGTAGGATACCAGCGTTATATATTAAAGCTTTTCAAGTATACGTTCGCCCACTAGTAGAATATGCCTCAGTAGTGACGTCACCTTACTTTAAAAAAGATCAAATAACTATAGAATCAATTCAGAAAGACTTCTTCCGTCGAGTGTGCTATCGTTGCCGGGTCCCGTATGGCTCCTACAGTTCGGTTCTCACCAATTTCTCCGCTGAACCGCTGAACTTTAGGAGAATCATCATGGACCTTTGTTTCCTATACAATTTACACAAAAGTGCTTCCAATATTTCCCCTCAAAACTTTTTCAAATGTGTTCCATCCCGAACTCGTGGTCTGCTCGTTAAGCTCAAGCCTATTCTCGGTCAAAAAACCTCTGTACAAAAGTCGTTCTTTTCATTGCGTGTATGTGCTCTTTGGAATTCTTTGCCCCAATCTGCCTTCGATAGTTCTTCAACTAAAATATTTAAAAAGCAGGTTACCCGATTAGAACCTATTTCATCCATTCTTTAATTAATCATGTCCATTTAACGCCTTAATGCTTCCTACCCCCCCTTTTTTTCTTCAACAAACTTCCAACCTTACCTCCACTAATAAGTGTTTACTTGTAAACCTAAGTGCGAGAAATGAATTATTATTATTATTATTATTATTATTATTAAAACCCTGTGCGGGCGCTTCGAAATTTTGCTCGCGATAAAAACAGCCTCCATTTTCGAAGCATCTGGAGTTGAAACTATCAGCCAGATAGGAATAGGCTTTCGTGCCCCATCATGCCTCTTTCTATCGCCAGCTATGTGATAAAAAAAAGGAGATTTGCAATGGTTTTGAGCTTTGGAACCTTTTGCTCGTGTTTTAGAATTTTCTGCGTATTCAGTCCAGGTGAGAAATTTTTGAATTAATTTGAAAATGTCGTAATTGTTGTTTTGTGGCTCTTGAGTAACTTCACTAACGGGTAACTTTTTGCCATGCTTGGAACCTAGCTGTTTATGACGTTTTATTCAGATGTCACACACAATAACAACCCGCAAAAACACATGTTTGAAATGTAAAAATATATAATACAATCAATAATAGAAACTTATAAAAAAGGCAGTAAAAATAGGATTACGCATTGGAAATGTATTGTTTTGAATTCATTTAAGCCACTCTTCTAATACATTTGGTATGTGTTTTAAATGCCTGTATTAATAGAAGAGATTTCAAATGGGAAGAAGCTCTTCTAGATATAGAAGGGGGTAGAGACCATTCTCTCAATAATATCCCATTTTCATCATATTCCTCTAGGGGAATACCATCAATGAAGGGCATTTGTTGGAGAAGAGGTAGAGATTCTACTGCACACCATACATCCATTGATTCTCGCCACGTGACTGGACTGAAAATCAGATACTGAATTCCATTTAATCTCATTAAAAATTCAATTATAAAATTGCGATATGTTTTCGGGCGTTTTCAAGTTTTGTTACTGACCTACAGTACCCAACATTTTTTCCATTTTCGCAGGGAAAATCGTGAAAATAACTTGTGGATATTTGTGTGTTCGATGCAGATCTCTCTAGCTGGACATTCCTCATCACGACGACATAAGATATCCACGAACAGATCCTGAAAAAGATTGATGAGTAAATTTGGATCGAAGGGTCTGTGCTAGCTTTCCTGGAAACCGCTTTCCAAAACAATCTTTGCTAGCTGGCCCGTTAGCTAGCTCGAGCGTTTCCTGGGAGGAATTTCCTGGGGCGTCTTTGCTACCCTGCCTGACCTTCGCCTTCTTTCTAAAAGAGTCTGCTAGCTGCGCTATGGCTCCCATGCTCTCTGCTAGCCTGCCAGGCCTCCCTCTATAGCCCGCCCCACCTACCGTAATCTGTGCAAACGCGGCTTCTCTCTGTGAATATGTCCTCTCTTTAGAACATTCCATACATTCAAGAAAAGTCTCTTCCGCATCTTCCAATAATAGATACCGCAGCATCTCCCGGAATAGGATATTTTGACTGGAAAATACGTAATAAAAAGTACAGCATCCAGCTGTTACTGGCCCTTTCAGGCACTTACCGTATACTTTCCGGTTTTACGGTCATTTGTCCATGATTTAGTGTATATAATGACGGATTGTTGCGTACTATTCGATCTTCAATTTGTAGCGTATAATATGAGGTGTGATTGCATTGATTTTTGAGTGATCCGCTAAAACCTTTTAAAAGAAAAATAGCATATTACATACCGTAATTCGTGAAATTCAGGCTGTTCTTCTTCTTCTTCTTCTTGAGCTTGAGTATTCCTTGGTAATAGACAAACCCCAAGTGGGGCTTCATTAAATATAGATATTCTGGGAATATTGGTCGAGAGATTATGGCATTCCCATCCGGTGAGACACGTATCGGGGGATGAGGGCTGACACTGAAAAAATATCGACGTTTTAAAAGGGCTGGCAAGACATTAATAAGAGTTATTTCGGTCATAGATTCACCATGGATTTTTCCGATGCCAATTCTGCAAAATCCCGCGTCCAGAAATGAGGGAAACGAGCACGATGTTTTGGGAATTTTTTTGCGGGCATAATTTTTTGACATTCTATACCATTTTTATTTTCTGCTTCATGTTTAGCCAGGTTTAGGGAAAGCTAGCAACGACCATTGAGGAATTTCAAGAAAAAAAAGACGTAAAACTTACCAGACTCCCAAGAAGAGGCTTTAACAGTACGAAAAAGCAAAAAGAAGCGCCAAGCATGGCCAGCCAGCCAACCAAAAAAAGTGTCGCACCACCGAACGGGCCCCCCGGGGAATGTGATCTTTATAAACGAGACACAGATGTCTTCTTTTTCTCTGTCCGTCTCTCTGCCTCTCTCTCCTCTCTCTTCTCTCTCTCTCTCTCTCTCTCTCTCTCACCGCTAGTTCTCAAATGACACCCCCAACTTTGAGCCTGACACCTCTTCCGTCAAATTCATCCCAGAATCTTGTATTTTCCTACCAAAATATTTATTCCGAAATCTGAAAATTACGATACTTTACAAAAAATAGGCGATTCAAATAAAGAAGAGGAAGGCACAACGGAACTGTGACCCTTGGCACAGAGGCGAAATAGCGGGGGAAACGAACGGGGGCAAGAGACCATAAGGAAAATAAGGGGGATGAGGGAAAATCCGCGTTTTGCACTTTAAAGGTACCGCGAAGGCAATTTCGACCTTAAAAACGTAGTCTTACGCCAAAAATCGATGATTTTTGCCTTCGCGAGACTTTTAAAAGACGAAATACGGCTGGGAAAATACTGCAACTGGTAAAAGTCTCGTTTTGTAAGTTTGTAGAAAAAAAAGGACAATTCAGCTTTTAAAGAGACGTTGATGGCTAGATTCTATGAATTGAAAAACTCTAGGGCTTCTAGATCTAAAATTTATTTTTTTTGCTAAAATCCAGCCTTCCCGGTCCCTTTAATAGACAATTTTGCATTTGAATTTATGCCCTGAGTGGCTGCAATTCCACGGGAGCCGTGCGGGTCTCCCTCTCGATCTCCCAGGCGCGGATACGCTTCAGCGGAACGCACACGAGACCTGAAATCAGTAAATTATTTGAATTTTCATTTACAAAATCTTTAAACTATCTAAAAACTAAAAAAAATCGAGTTTTTAGATCTGCGTAAGCAAATAGAAACGATTCATGTAATTTGAAATTCATTAATTTAAAGAAGTTTTAAAAAGATACAAACACTATTTTTATCCAGCTAGCTTCATAAAAAATGAGAAACACCCACCAGAAAGCACCATCAGCGATCCCATGACGTAGAAGCTCAGGTCGAAATTGCCCGAGAAATCCTTGATGATCGCTGAAAACGGGGCATGGCTTTTTTTTTACTTAGCTGTCGCCACCCCTTTAAAGGGTCGATGAAGCCTTGTCGGTCCCTTTAAAGGCTCATTAAAGCCAACTGACCAGCACATGGCGAGCCGAGAAGTGCGCCGAAGCCCATGAACAACATCAGGGTGCCGAAGGAGGAAGACAACTTCTGAGTGCCCCACAAATCCACGCACATCACCGAGCGGAGGGCGGCAAAACAGGCTAAAATTTAAAATGATCAGGTGTTCTATATTGTTAGAGAATTTATTACCATTGATAGATCCGAAATTTTCAAAAAAAAAATCCAAATTTTTTGTGATTTTTGGGTCTAAACAATTTTTTGCGCTTAAAATGTTATGGTTAATCAAAAGTTTATTTCACCACTTACCAATTCCGAAGGCGAACGGCACGGTGAAGGCGATGAAATTCCAATAATGAGAGAAGAGCGGGACGGCAACCATGATTGAACCAGCACCCATTAATGCAATGGCTGAGACAAGGGACGAATCGATATCCGGACTGTCAGAGATACGCCTGAAAATGGAGGTGTAATCGTGTACGATAGCTTATTCCAAAGAGATTTCTGCTAGCTTGCCAACCACTAGTTCAAAAATTCGAAAGTTATCGATTTTTTCGAGTAAATGGTCTCTGCTAGCTTATGAGCTGGAATTAGCTTTTCCTAAAGGTTCTTTGCTAGCCTGCCAAGAATCTGTGGAACCTCGACTTGAGGAGGGGTTGCCCAAAATTGTAGATCTTTTCTAAGGAACCTCTGCTAGCTAGCTTGCCATTTTTACGCTTTGGCTTTCTCCCCAGGTTTTTCCGCCAGTTTTTTGTCCTCAGATGGTCTCTGCAAGCCTGCTAACGACCTTATCTGTCCCAAACGGTCTCTGCTAGTCTGCCCGCTAATTTTTCGAGTTGAAATGGCTTCTGCTAATTTGCCTTGACGCGTTTTTCCGCGAAATCATCTGTAGGATAGAATTACCGGTCTTAAATTGTCTCTGCTAGCTTTCCCGAGCTCAATTTTCACGTTTTTTAGTGAAATTCCAAATCGCAGAATTGCCGTACCCGCACAAAATCCTGAAGCCAATGTTGACAAAGCCAAGGACAGTAATGGGCATATCCTTCTGTAGTACCGTATATGTCTCGTTCGAATGGGCCTCGACGCTGGAAAAGATTGATGCATTAATGAGAGGTGATAAGGGCTTACCGATCGACGTGTTTTCCAAGGAATGCAAATGGGACATAGAAACATGTCATTGTCAAGAATCCGGAGAGGGCCAGCAGAAGGAATGACGGACGGCGCATCTGTTCCATATCAACCATTCCCTTCAGGAACTAAAAAATAAACTTTTTAGATTTGCCTTTGACGCTCCTTGAAAGTTATTTGATAGGCAAAGTCCTTTAAAGGACAAGTTTTTCGCAATTTAGCGAATTTGATTGGGCTACGTTACGCAACACGCTACGTTTTAGTTGCGTAATCAATTACGAAGTTTAATTTAAGGCCTTTTTAAGATGGTAAAAAGACGGGCGCGCTGGGTGTCGCGTCGCTGTCCCAGCAAATCGATAGCCATGGCTTGCCAGGCCCCTTAAAAGGACGTGTGGCGAGATGGTCTTTCCAACCACAACGCGACATGGAAGGCGTCAACCTTTCCTTGAGTAACCGATTACGACACGTTTTTGGGCAAGGACAAATGCGTTGCGGTACGGTCAAGCCCGAAGGAAATCCATAGCTAAATCCATGGCAAAAATACCTTGCCAATCCCTTTAAAGCAACTAACACCACCTTAAAGGTATCTAATCCCAGATTCTCCCTACCTCCTTAACAGCAGTGAATGTTCCTGTCTTTGGCGAGGCGATGCTGAGTTGAGATCGACGTGTATCACGAAGGAATGCCTCTTTGTCGACGGCAGAAGCTGTAAAATGTTTCATAGCAAAACTGGTTGTAGTCTGTAGTTCTGTTATTCCTTCCAAATGACGTACCAGAAGCAGTCCTCTCCCTCTGATTGAGTGATGATGTACTGCCCGGATAGAAGGCGTCCGACTTGGCCAATGGATTGTTCACCTCCTGCAGCACTTCCCGAGCCACCTCCTTGGCCTTCTCGTGCTCCGACCACACCTTGTCGCCTCCCTAAAATTTCTAGATACAGTAAGATTTTCTAAAAGCTTCCCCGAGCGCTGTAGGGTTGGCTTCGCTCGTATTTTGAGGCTATAAGAACTAGAAAAAGTCGAAATTTCGAGAGATTTCAAGCTTTTGGGGGAACTTTCAAACCGCAGTAGGCAAATTTAACCTGGCCAATTTTTGGCACGGTTCCATAAGAGGGCGGAAACTAAATTAGAATTATTAATGTTTACAGAAAAATAATTTTTCGGTTTAAAAATTTCAGCACAGTCTATCTCCCGGAAAAATTTTTATCCCCAAAGAATCTCTGCTAGCCTACCCGTGACGATTTTTAACTGGGAATTACTTTAAATTATTGCTATTACCTGATGCTCAGCCTCTTGCTCCATTTTGGCGAGGAATGGATGCTCAGGGTTGGCCTTGTCACCTTCCAAATGTTCGATTTGCTGAAATTCACATTTTTTTTGAATGTCGATTAATTTTTGCTTGAAATCGACGAGTTTATGCCTTCAACGGCCCTTTAAAAGCAGAACTCTGATAGATACCTTAGTCTTTTCATACTTCTCGACAATAGCAGCAGCCTGTTCGACTTGAGCATCAGTTGGTTGGAGGGGACGATATAGGAGGCCCGAGATGATTCCAATCAATGAACATCCTGCCAGGTAGAAGAAGAAATAACGCCAGTTGTTATCCGTGTATTGGAGCACGAGCGAGTTCAGCTGAAACAAAGGCGGATGAGAAAAAAATTTCCACTTTCTGGGAGCGCAAGAGAGAGAGAGAGAGAGAGAGAGAGAGAGAGAGAGAGAGAGAGAGAGAGAAGAAGGGAGAAAGAGAGAGAGCGACTGAGAAAAATCGATAAATTTTATCTTAACTTACATTAGCAAACAATGAAGTCCCAATCCCAGATCCACAAACGGCCAATCCTGTAGCAAAAGCACGTTTTTGCGAGAAATACTGGGAAATGACGACGATAGCCGGCAGATACATCAACCCGAATCCGACGCCTAAAATGAGAGATATTGGTGTTTTCACGCTGAATCCCTATAATCAATCAAAATCTGTACCTCCAATAATTCCATAGGTCACGTAGATGATCTCGATCCGATCGGCGAATGTCGAGGCAACGAATCCAAAGGCGGCCACACACGCCCCAACGATTGTCACGAAACGGCAACCGTAGCGGATGGAAAGGGCCGAAGCGAGGGGGCCTAGAAAATAAGGGATTTCATCGCGTGATTGGCTTTTAAAGGATTTCTGCTAAATTGCCTAGGAATTTCTGAACATTTTGCTTGAAATGGGAATTTTTGGCTAGACACTAACTTCCTAAATGGACATTGCTCGCTTGCAGCTGCAATTTTCTGCTAGTTTGCCTGTCCTTTGTGGATCGTGCCCTTCCAAGGATCTCTGCTAGATTGCCTGATTTCCATAGGGTTCGACTCATATAGATTTTTCCAAGGATCTCTGCTAGATCACCTTTTTACAAAGACTGGCAATTTTTTTAGACTGCCAGACCCGGTTAATCAATTCTCCCAAGATCTCTGTTAGCACCCCGCTTTCATAAGCTAATAACTTTATCTAGTCTTTTCTAAGGAATTGTGCTATTTTGCATGACGGATCGCGCAAAAACCGCGCTCTAGCCTTTCGGATTCTCCCAAAGAACACCTGCTAGGCTGCCCAATTTTCAACTTTAAATTCCGTACCTGACAGCAAATATCCTCCCTGCATCAACGAATGGGCAAGCGAGACACGAGAATCAGATGATAGAAAGGCACCCTTGAGAAGAGGAGTACACGAAGCTGGGGCTGTGAAGATTACTCCGTCAACTACCACATTCGCCAGAAAAGAGGCGGCAACTATCACCCAGCCATAGCCACCTGAAAGGGGGGATTCTCTAGGGATTTGCGCTTGATACCCACCATCCGGGATCTGGACGGTTCCGACTTCTTCCAGCTTCTTTTCGACTTCTTCTTCATCTCCATCTTTTGGAGATTGGGCCGCGATTTCGTACTTCTTCGTACCCATAGCTGGAATAGGGAAATTACAGAGAGAGAGAGAGAGAGAGAGAGTGAGAGAGAGAGAGAGAGAGATAGAGAGAGAGACGCTCTATAAACTCATTCCTATGTTTTTTTTCTGAAAATGGCAACAGGCGCATTGGGTGCAGAACAAGGTGGATAAGCCGATATTCGAGAGCACACAAAAACTGATAAGTGGTCGAAGGCGAGATGGGTCAACAAGAAAAAGAGAAGCGGATGGGGCACATGGCCAATCTGTGACCATTCTGAAGAGAATAAGACTAGAGGATATTAAAGAATCGGGCAAGGCATCGATCGAGGTAAGCGATAAATCGCGGGAAAATCAGACATCTAAAAAATATTTACCCAGCCGATTTAAAGGGACAGTGACAGCTGAACAGAGCGTGCAAGAGGGAAACCTTCAAGGGACCGAAAAGTGTTAGCTTCGACCCCCTTACGCTACTGGGTGTCGATAGACGTGTTTTTGATTTTCTTGCTTCTTTAAGAGGAAAATTGAGCGAATGTACGCACATTAATCAGAGCTCAAAGGAGTCGTGAAATTGCCATTTTTCCGGGTTACGAAAAATGCAGAGATAACTCGGAAGGGTAGGGCCAGATAGCAAAGATTCTTTGAGGCGGATAGCATTGTTTTTAGGGGTCGGAAATCAAGATAATATGAATTTATGGATTCAATGCATAAACGAGCAGGATCGGAAAACGAAACAAGTCGAATGCAAAGTGACACAAAGTCCAAAATGACACGACAGAAGGTAGAGAGAGAGGAGAGAGGAGAGAGAGACAGAGAGCGAGAATGCGAGAGAGAATGTGTGAACTGTTCTGGTGTGATATCTAGAATTCTAGGGCAGAGCCAGCTCTTCCGAGCTATATTTTGACGGGGATCCCCCTCCTCCTTCTGTTATCTTTTTGCCCTCCATTTTACAGCCATTTTCAAGGAAGGCGAGGAGGGGGATACCCCCATCTTCATTTCTCAGCCGCGTTGGGTCCGATTGCACCGTTCGGAGGAAAGTAACGGACGATTGATCTAGAGGGAAAGGGAAGGGCCAGACGGGATTCCCCGCAAAAAAACGGATAAATGAGGGTGGGGTGGGTAATTTATTTGGGGCGTCTCGACATGCGGCATGGTATTTTTGGGACTTTTGCGGTAAAAAAGGGGCAGCTAAATGTCTGGAAGTCACGGAAGAATTTGGATTGGCCTAAAAAAGCGAACTTATAGCCAGTTTAACCCTGATATTCCCCAAAAAATTCTGCTTAAAAGGCCGTTTGCGAGAGACCCGAACAATGCTTGGCACAGTTTTTTTCGGCCCCGTTTTTTTGACGGCATCTGAAAGAGGATGGTCAAATTAGTAGGGCTGCATAGTTTTGAAAGTTTAAAAAGTTAATTTTTTGGGTTAAAATTGGAGTCAAAGTGGCCGACCCTCAAAAATTATCTCCAAAACTACTGCACCAAATTGCCTAAAAATTGGTGAGAATACTTAATTTTGGATGGGGATCATTTCTCTAATACATCGTAAAGCACGAAAATGAGCGGAACACCGGAATCTCGCGTACCCAAAACAGTAATTTTGGATTTTCTATTTTACGGGTTTCCGAGGGTAACTTCTTTTTACTATAGAAAGATGCACCAGAAAATTCTGCGTTGATTGATGTATTTTTTATTTTACCCTCCGGTTCCCTAGTTCCGCTATAAAGCATTTACTTCGCGCAAAACAGCCTCCAGACTAGGCCAAAAACCTCAAAACTGGCAGATTTTGAAACTGAAAATATCAAATCGTATCTCGAGAACGAGCTGAATCCATTGCAAAAAGAGCAAAAAGAAATAACGTTTTTGAAGGGGGGCTGGGATTGAACTCGCGCGACCCCTGGATTGGTAGGCGAGCACTCATGCAATCCACCACGGCCCCAGAGAGGGCTTTCAGGCGAAGGGTCCGAGTTCGATTCCTTCCGGATCTCAGCCCATATTTAGAGGCCGAATTTCTTTTTGCTCTTTTGTGCAATGTATTCAGCTCGTTCTCTAGATACGATTTGATATTTTCAATTTCAAAATCTGCCAGTTTTGAGGTTTTTGGCCTAGTCTGGAGGCGGTTTTGCGCGCAGTAATGCTTTATAGCGGAACTAGGGAAACGGAGGGTAGAAAAAATACATCAATCAACGCAGAATTTTCTGGTGCATCTTTCTATAGTAAAAGAAGTTACCCTCGGAAACCCGTAAAATAGAAAATCCAAAATTACTGTTTTGGGTACGCGAGATTCCGGTGTTCCGCTCATTTTCGTGCTTTACGATGTATTAGAGAAATGATCCCCATCCAAAATTAGGTATTGTCACCAATTTTTAGCCAATTTGGTGCAGTAGTTTTGGAGATAATTTTTGAGGGTCGGCCACTTTGACTCCAATTTTAACCCCAAAAATTAACTTTTTAAACTTTCAAAACTATGCAGCCCTACTAATTTAACCATCCTCTTTCAGATGCCGTCAAAAAAAACGGGGCCGAAAAAAACTGTGCCAAGCCATATTAGGGTCTGTTCGGGTGACTCGCGGACGGCCTTTTAAGAGCGCAGTAAAAACATCCAAAATCATGATTTATCCCATTTATCTGATTTTAAAGAGACCCAAGGCTAGATCCCAAAATATAAAGCCATAGAAATTTGGCCAGCGGACAAAATAAAAAACTGTCACCCCCCTCCCCCCTGTAAAATAGGGGAATCTAGCCCAGACAAAAATGACCTTATTGGCACTGTTCCAGGGTGAGCATCCCCTCTAAAACGTGTCATATGGATGGGAAGACTTTCTAAAGACAGGATGTCTTTTGAAGGGGGTAGAAGGGGGGACATCGGCTGGTAGACTAATGGCCTTTGTGGATGGATGGCAGAGCGAGAGAGCGAGGGAGAGAGAGAGAGAGAGAGAGAGAGATAGAGGGGCCAAGGGCTGGTCATAGAATGTTGTGGAATGGTTCGATGTCCCTTTTATACAGTCCTCCTCCCCGATGTGATGACTCAATTCATCGTCTTGGCCCCGCCCTATTAGACACCATTTTTCCTAAATGAAGCCACGCCCCTTTTAAAGGAACATGAAAGGCCAAGTTGACCGAATTAAGGGTTAGACAACACATTAATATTATCCGGGAGCGCATTAATGGCTGTTCTAGCGGGTCCGGAAAATGAAAATGCCACAATTTCAGCTAGAAACCTCAATTTTAGCGGTTTAAAGGGCCTCCTGTAAAGGCAAAGTTTTTGGGACACGTTGGCTAAAATTCACTACGAACCTCGGAATATTCGCAAGAAACAAAAATTCTATTTTTTGCCTACTTTTCAGCGATTTGTTTGGAACTACGATCGACTCTGGTCAACAGATCGTTCGTCCTCGCGCAAAGCCCATTCCGAGAGCGGCGACGAAGCCACAAATGGGGGCTTCATCCTGCCGACAGAAAGGATCATTACCGGATGGTGAGAGAGAGAGAGAGAGAGAGAGAGAGAGAGGACCCGAAAGGGTCATTTCCGCGAATCGGCCAATCGACACTACGATCGGGTCCCTTTTGACAAGTGCGGCAACATTTGAGGGAGTTAGGAACAGCTTTCGTAAATGGTTTCTTTGTTTCGGCGTTTTTTAACAACCAGTTGAAGCTGTGAAAATGGCCTTTAAAGAAATTCACTGTCCCTTTAAAAAAACCGCTTCCTAAACCATCCTGGCCCACTGTTTTCCTGGCTTCGCAATGCCTTTAATCGAATTCTGACGAAAAATCTCTACCAATGGAAGTCGATGATGGTTTGGATAATAGGGCAACGCCTTGAATGTTACACTACTCCGAATCGGACGCCCCGATGCTATTCCAATGTTGATATCTGATCGAAAAGGGTAGATGAAGGCTGTGATAGTCTGTTTGGTTACTCAGAAGACTATTTTCGTTGAAATGACTCATCCAAATGAGCTTTTGGTGTCTAACTCTAAAGATACCAAAAATGATTCAGGAGAACGGCCCAGAAGCCCTATATCGTGTAAACCAAGGTAACCTAGCAGAGATTCTTGACGGAAATGGGGACAGATTAGCAAAGTCCATGGCGGAAAAGGACGAGCCGGTATGGCTGGACAAGCTTGCAAGAACGCTTGGGGAAAAACGGCGGCAAACTAGCAGAGATTCTTTGCGGAGACCTTTATTCTCTGCTATTTTTCTGGTTTGTCCTAGTTTTTTTTAGTTCTGGGGACGTTTCCACGAACAGTTGTTTTCCAGAATTTCCGCAAAATTAGCGCCAAATAAACATGTTGTCGAAATGCGGATAGCACAGGTGCGGAATACAAGCAAGGAATAGAACTGTATTCCAGGGAATCCGGGGCTAAAATGCGAGCGCAGAATTCTGATGCAATTGTGGGGCAGAAGCTGACGGGCCGAATGAATGACGGAGGGCTTCATCGGCCATTTCTCGGGGAATCCCAGTTAAGGCAGGGATTAGTTTGTCGCTTTCTGGATGTAAAAAACTATAGAAATATTTAAAATCAGCATATAAAATTTAAGAAACGCTGTTTTCAAGTATCACATAGACAATTTACGATTTTCTACAGTTTTTTTTGCAAAGTTTTGGTCTAAAAATTTGTCATAAATGGTGCTTTAAATCTAATTTTCGGTTCAATCGATAGAAATAGACACAATAGGTAGTCCATGTAGTCTGGAAATGGGCAATAATAGCTAGATATACAGGAGGGGAGGGGGAGACACATTGCCTCGATGTTGACACAGCGGCTCAGGGGGGGCTATAGAGAGAGAGCGATGGTTACAATAGATGCCCTCCAAATACAGGCAGTTTAGAAAAAATTAGTCGTAAATATGAATATGCACAAAACCGGTGAGTTTTTTTTGTAAAAATCATTTTGAAGCATCGAAATTCTGTTTTTAAACTTTTTCCAGGCCGTATCCGTAGAAAAGGGCCAGGGCTCAGGCGTTCAAGCGCATTATTGCTGCTCGAAATGCATGGAGTCCCCTAAAACAGAAAAAAGAGCCCA